ATCGTTCCTCGACGATATCTACGGTACATAACACGACTCGCAATAATCAAACTCAGGGCAAACATTGTGATAATTCACTAAAAGTGGTCAAATAGTAGAGACATTAAGATGCGCATACGAGAACGGAACGAGAACGGATACGTCACTGCTTTGTGCATGACCTCCGCGCGAACCAATGACGTCATCGGTTGCCTGGTCGTTCGGCAGTCGTTTTGAACGTGATCAAGGTGACTGACTCGTAGTTGATTTCCGAGAGCTTTTCTCGCTGTCAATTTTGAATAATTTTCATTGACATTAATAAAACGTTTTATATTAGAGTGTTTTTGAATATTTATGATGAAATAAGAAATATTGGATGCATTTTAGCTGACATTTATACCCACTGAAAACGCATGATATTGATCTGCTGAAAGAGGATTCGGCAAACAGGCCTAGGACCTCAGCAGAGTGGATGGAAATAGTGAGAGCTCTGTCAAAATGTCTGTGAACTAACTACTAATTCTGATTCCGGACGTGAAATGACATAACAAATTAATTTAGGTAGTTATTGTTGCCCAATGAGAGACGGATTGACATGGTTCTGGTTTCAGTTACGTTCCCGTTGTGGGCGCTTGTACTTAATCGTTTTCTGACACCCGAGAACGTAACGCAAACGAAATTAGAACATCACGTTACGTTCCCGTTACGTACGCAAATCTTAAACTCTCTAATGATGGGATGATCGGCAAAACGATGCGTTCTCTTCGACTTGAGAGTAAATAGTGAAATATTCTACGCCGAGGTTCCGCGGTTGCCAAGAGATGAACAATGAAATATGTTCGATTAAGTCACGTGACTCGGCCGCGTCAACTTTGCGCCACTCACAGCTGGCCGATTGTTCACGCTGCGTCGCCGACAGGTCCACGCAATAGAACAACCAAGTTTCAGTAACACTCAGCTGGGATGGGGGTAAGAGAGGACGCCCTCTCGAAAAAAAATGTTGGAGGGGCGTCGCCCCTTCGAAAATCAATCTGAAATATTTTGTGTTAGCAAAATTTGCCCCTCAAAATGCAGGATAAGGCGTTTCAGAGGGTCTATATTTCAAAATTGTCAAGGGGAAGTATGCCCCTAGATCCCCCAAGTAAGCACGCGCCCTTCTGCATAATAAACACATTTTGGAAAAACAGACAAAAATAGTGGTGTCTGATTGTACTTGGGTTCACAATTGAACCGATTTATTTGTCTTTCACAGAAAATATCGACTCTGCTTTTGTATTTTAAATTTTAACTGAAATGTATTTGTGAAAATGGTGTATTTGTACCTGTGCCGAGTGTACAACATATTGCGATATTGAGAGTTTACACATCATATTTCGTCATAGGCCCAGTTCACATTTCCATTGGGTTCTACTAATTACTGCCCGGGCTAAAATACTGTTATAAAGATATATTAAAATAGCAAGGACCATGAATTTCACTAACAACAAAAACAAGCCAGTAGTCTGGCTGGAGATCCGCTCCGCTCAAAAACAAGCAACATGTTTTCGGCTGTTGCTATGGTAGGACATGAACGTGTAGCTAACTTCGGTTTATAACTAAAATTGGGCCCCGTATACAAAGCTCGCAAAACACATTCAGTCTTTAGAAGTCATTATACTTTAGTGCTTTAGTACGTATTCTGCTGTTATATTTATTATTCCAACAGTTTTGCGATAGTATTTTCTAGATTGAATGCAGCATTTACAGTTCATTCACGTGCGGCAGCACGAAATTTTACGTGGAGGGGCGAGATTTGCTCACCAACCTTACTAGGAAGTCCGGGCATACTGCCCCTTAAAAATTAGGAAATCCACTATTTCCTGCATTTTAAGGGACAAATTTTGCTGACACAAAGGGTTGCAGCTTGATTTTGGAGGTGCGATTTGTATCTGGTCAATGCGCATCAATTAAAGAAATGCCTCACGAATTTGTAATCCCCATCGGATTACGTCCTCCATGCGTGTGTCTATCGTCATATACTAGTATATCTCGGGCATGCATGGAGCAATTTTGTTCAAAATTGGTACAAAGACAAGATGGGATACATGGTTTTTCTTTTGGTTGAATTTTGACCGACTGGCGCCCCCCAAAAAAAACATACACCAAAAATAATTATTTTAACATGCCATAAACCATTTCTCAGACATACTTTGACCAATCTCATTCAAACTAGGTAAGGACATTACTCACTTGGGTTACTGAATCACGTTATTTTGTTTCTTAGTTTGATTCAAAATAGATGACGACCATTTTTTTTCGAGGCCTGAAATATATTCACGTCTATTTTATTGAATTTTTGACTGATTTGTGGCCATTTTTTGGAAAAAAAAAACCACAGAAAATAAATATTTGAACATGTGATAAACTGTTTATCATGCATGCCTCAAATGATCTCATTCAAACATGGCATTGACATCACTTGTGGCAGGTTACTGATGCAAGTCATCTTTTTCTTGTATTCAGAATTTTTTGACAATTTTGCTGAATGTACTATAGATACAAAAACAATATTACCGGTGTATTAATTGGTTTCAATGACCTTTGACAGACTGGTAGCTACTATTATTGTCTCCCAGAACACCAAACAAAAATTCAGTTTTCTCAGGCACGCCAGGGCCAATTTCATTCAAGCTTTATATGAACATCAAAACAAGCAGCCTCTCGTCTGAGATATCATTAGAAAATGAACAAATCTGAGAGCTCTATCTGAGGTACCTACATGTATAACATCCAAGCAATCAGACTTTTAACAAGAATTCGAAAATATCATTTTCTGGTATTACCAAAAATGACATTATTCATCAAAACTAGATAATTGAAGATATCATCACAAAAGGAACAAATCTGAGAGAGGTGTACCGGAGGTACTTGTATGTATAGTATCAAAAGCAATCAGACTTGCAGTTTTTAGCAAGAAATTGAAAATATCACTTTTGGGCAAAAATATTCACCAAAATTGAAGAAATGAAGATATCACCACGAAATGAACAAATCTAAAAAAGGTCTCCAAGTATCAAAGCAATAGGAATCATAGTTTTCATGAAGAAATCGAAAAAGTAAAAACGAACACGGACGATGATGGAGAATCACTCGTATGATAAGCTCCGCTCGACAAATTCGACAGCAAAAAAGGGAGGAATATGAATGCACACACGCTTTTTTTTATTTGATTAAAACTGGTTACCCGGTTTTGTGTGATATGAGAATGATCTTATTCCAGGGAGTCACTTTGACCTAACAAAACTGAACAGCGACTTTGTCATTGATAATGACTTGTTTTTTTTGGTTTGTGCCAAACAGCATTGTTGTGGTAAATTTCACGACTAGAAACAAATTTGTTTTTTTAAGTATAGCTCCATTTGTTGGTAATATATGTGCTTATTGAAGTAAATGATAGAAGTGCGTAAAAGTCATATTTTAATGATAATGAAAAATAACGTAATACAATTGGTGTACTGTGTACATGTTTTTAATTTCATGACTTATAAAAGAAACAGAAGCCCACATACATTGTGTTTTGTCCAACACATGCAAGTAAATATTCTGTGATGTGTGAGTTTTTGTAATGTCACTTTAAAATACAAAATATAATTCCTGTGAAATGACACCACTTGCAAATCACAATAAAATTCACAAAAACAAAGATTACATTTAATGTCACAGAGCATCAAGATATTACTCATAAAAAAATTCAGGATTTTAATCAATGATTTGGTAAAAATGAAAGGATGGTGGTCGTCGCACCGCCCATGTGCAACGTTTTTGTTGATTAATATTGAGTTTCCCACAATTCAATGTGCTCTTCAAGTTTTGACCATCGGGCGACATGTACTAATTATCATTGATGACTTTTTCAATACCTTCCAATCAGCAAGGAAATTAGCAAGTTAATACTTTGTAACGTTCTAGTTTGTATTCTTTGGTCTTTGCATCAGTCAAAGTCGCCATCTTTATTCATAAGAGTCCCAAATCTCACACATGCATGGCGTGACGACCACCAATCTTTAAAATGAATCTGCTCTAGTAAAAACTACAAATGAGACAATTTGCTACTGTAGAAAGCTTAATTTTTATTTTGAGAAAATTTTAAAAGTATTTTGTTTTCAGTGGATTATATATTTGCTTACTGTTTTATAAAACTTTAATTTCACAAGAAACAAATTTTTGCAAATCATTGAAAATCATGAAATTTTTTTAGCAGTAAAAATCTGGGGTTGTCAGACAGCGACTTTGGCAAAATTTATTCTTAAAGGGGAACCGCTCAATCCCATGGATTGCACCATGTGTTCATGGATAATATACTACGCCTCTGTCCACTAAGTAAATGAATGCTTATTATACTCACTTACTCAAACTGTAATTGACAGGCATTTTGCATACATTAGCCGCCATTTTAAACTCAGGATTTTAACCCGATGAGTGTAATCGCTAGCGTACATATTCATGTCCCCGTAGAAATGTATTTTGAATCACAGCTTGATCTCTAAACATCGTAAATGGCACATTTCCCGGAGCTCCCGCCACAATGTGTGAGCGGCTTGGTTCGGATTAACATACTAATAGCGGTGGCCATCTTGCCCCTATTTATAGTATCGGTTCCCCTTTAACAAATGACATAAAATCATCAAATCATGAAAATTTAGTATTTGCTCATTAAGTCAGGCATGATTATGAAATTAACAAATATTTGTACACATGTTAACGTGTTTTGGTTCTGTAGACATCCGTATTTCAGTAGTCACTGACATTGTAATATACAAAAGTTTTTAATTTTTGTCAGATTCATTTTCTGACTTGCTTTATAAAAAAAGATAAATAATAAGTTGTTTATCCTTCTTGTTGTATAAATGGATTGGCTATTGCTTCCATACCATCCGCTGGGCATATAAGAACTACTGATGTACCACGACATACTACTAAACCCAACTGTCTGGTTTCTTCTAATAATTTATATGGGTCATCTGGATCTGGAGAAAAATAGAACAATATTTTTATTATTAATACATGGTCTTACATTTCCTTAATTTCACACTCAGCGTGCTCTCAAAATTGTTTGTGTGCACGTGCAAGGAAATGTAATTACGAACAGAATACTAGAAATGGCGAACATTCCCCAAACATGTACATCATAATATGGCTTCTGTAAAAGTCCAAATATGAACCACGGTTTATATTACAATGTATCAATTCCAAAATTTGGGTCAAAAGCTCAAGTTTAGGGTGTGGTTTATAATACGTATATATTGCAATCACTAAATAGGCGTGGTCATTTTTTCCCACAACACATGCACAAAATAAACAATATGCCAGTACATAGTGGCATACGATATATCTCTTTTTGGAGGATGTGGTGGCACTGAAAAGGGCCTTTATGTTATGATTTTAGAAAAACCAACTCAGTCTTCATCGCTGTCACTGTCAAATAATATGGTGATTTCCTCGACAAGTGCTTTGTAGTATATTTCATCAGTATCCAATTCTTCGTAAACAGCGTCTTGAAAGATGCAGCTATCTGGATATAATATCATTCTTCTATAAACATAAACAATACTTACCTCTAACAAATTCTGTTGTTCCATCTATCACAAGATTTAACAAAGGATCATATCCTTTCAGTATACCACTTGCTAAGACACAAAGATGATTAAAATTGGTATTACTCTATGAGAAGTGCACTTTACATAATGATAAGGTACTGCAACTATTGATGATGATTGATTTTTTTTCAAAAAAAATCAGAAGTTTGTCAATAGCTTTGATAAGCTCACAGAAGATAAATTAGTGGTAGGAAATAACTTTCCACCAAAACAAATTCAACCTAATGTAAATGGTTATGAAAACCATGCATACTATGCAATTCAACTAAATGCATTGTAAAATCAACCAATGCCATATAATTGCATGCACCATACTTGTACTGAATTTCTCTCCCACAATGCATTACCATACTTGTCTGATTTAGTGCTCAGGGTACTCAGCTCAAAAGAATCATGTTTTTTTTTCTCGAAAAATTGGCCAAATTGTGCCATAGTTGAGAAAATAATACGACTTTCATTGGGGGGGGGGGGGTTAAATAAAATGCAAAATGAGTTGCACCTTCATTGATTTGTACAACACAATGACGAAACAGAAATTGTCACAAAAAATATGCACATTTTATCGCAATGTTATTTACAATCCATCAGAATTGTATAAATTATTAGGGACCTTGAGAAAACAGTCAAAAGACAAAATCTTCATCAGTATTTTTGATCATCTGCAAACTTGCTGCAAAACAATTTCCAGCATTAGATTTTTCTGCATGATTTGACCTTGTGACAACGCCCTTTGACCTGACAGGTCAAGTCTGTTATTAATCAATCAGAATGCTGTCTGTTATTTTTAAAGTATTTTTTTTCTAACAGTTAATTTTTCTTTGAATGTGATTTGTATTCATGTTTTTAAGAAAATTTGTATTATTTTTATGTTGAATTGTAGTTTAGAGACCATTCGTAGTAGTTACAATGGACACTGTAATTATTCAGAAAAGTAAAACGATATTCAATGACTAGATTCTGTGACGTGACGATTTAATTTGGGACGTTTAGAAAGGAGTGGGAGCTTAGTCGAACATGACCCCCAAACAACAGAAAAGTGGGGGGGGGGGCACTTACCGTTAAAATCCTATTATAAACCGCGGTTTATATTACAATGTATCAAATAAAAAATTGGGATCAACAGCTAAAGTTCGGGGTGCGGTTTATATTAGGTACTCACTAAATGGGCGCGGTCATTTTCCCCCCACATCACTTGCACAAAACAAACAATACATCGTACAATCTTTTGAATATAAGCTAACTCTAATTTAGATTAATTTTCTTCGTAACGGAAAGTATATTTTGACAGGAGTTTCAAATAAAAACAAACATTAATGCATTGCTTAGTAGAAAATGATCATGGTACGGCACTAAAAAAGTACGGTACCGTGGGTACAGTAACCATGCTTCGGCTCACAAGTGAATAACTTACTTGTTTTCGAACTGTTGAAATTGTTGATTATTACTCAGTAGTGATTATAATAATGCACGAAAAAATAAATTTGTTGAATTGTTATCAAATGCAAGTAAAAGTCAACTTAGTTTCACCGTAAGCGAATTATTTCGGTCACTTGTAAACGATCGATGCGACACAACTTCCGCTATGTAGTTTGAATGCACACGAGACATTACTTGACCGGGTTGGTCAAGTCGCTAATTAACCAATCAAAATGCTGGATGGTGCCCACGTGTTCAAATTACCTTAGTTCATTTAAATATGTTAGATGACAGGTCACCGACTTCATGGTGAACGAAACCCGGAAGCGATTT